ACTTTCAGAGAATTTCATCAGCTTACATCTTCTCATTACAGTGCTATAACCACAGTTGTCTGTAGCAACGCTATTTTGTCAAAAACATCACTCTTTTTGCCCAAATAGCTGCAAGAAACGCCTATTATGAAAACAGGTCCAGATCAAGTCTAAAAATCTCATCATTTTTCTTGTAGATTTCCTCCAACCCCTGCCCCACCAGCAGTCATGTACCCAGCACACAAGCCATGCATGGAGGACTTTGCAAGCTGTGAATCGTCATGAGCTGTCAGCAGCCTCAGCAAATCTCACAGACATCTGCGGCTTATCAAGCCAGCAGCATTTTTCCTACAGTAATCTCCACTAGGCCTGCCCCAGCTTTCATTTCAAAAGGCTTGGCATGGTATCTTCAAAAAAAAAAAAAAAAAAAAAAAAAAAAAAAAAAAAGTCATAAAAAAATACTAAATTTTTTTAGATGCAGCTGGTTTGGTGGACCGCCTTTGAAATCTGAGCACGTTGCAGAGATGTTGATATGCTCCTTGCAGTCATCTTGCAGCATGGGACAGCACTAACGGCTGCAAAAGGCTCTCTGGAGCTGTGCTTTTGGGCAAGCTGAGCCCAGCATGGAGGAGCTCTCCCCTTCCAAGGGCTTTAGGGAAGTGCTTTTGCCCAGGGGCTGAGGGCTCACCAGCACATGCATGCCTACTGCCCTCCCCAAGCCATTAGTTCTGCTTGCAGGCCTCAAGACCCAGCAAGTTTGGTGTGCTTGTTACCCAGCACTTGCACTGTGCACGGTACCCAAAGCAAGGCAACAGCCTTCACTACTAACATTACATGATGAAAGCTCAGGAAACTGCTCCATCAGAGCATGTGTCCATTAGGAGTCCCCACCCTGCTGACTGTCCCTGTTTCTGTGGCCATGCTGTGTCTCTCGTCCCCTGGCTGTGCCCTGACAATCAGAAGCATTCCAATCTCTGCTAGCAGCCTCCCATAGACACATCTCCTTACCGCCCCAGAGACTCTCCTGCTACTGCTGTGCCTCAGCTCACATTACACTGCTTTTAAAAGACAAAATAAATTAAACCACGCCACTGCTACTCGACACTGAAATTCAGCTTTGGTCAACAGAGAACAATTATAAAAAGTTAAAATCCTGTTAGGACTTGACAGCAACAACATACCTTAATAAACCCCACAGATTTTTGAGGGACTCATGAAACGATCCCTGTTTAATCCAAAGCCTCACTTTATGTACAGCAACCTGGTTTTACTTCCCCTCCCTCTTATTTTTGTTTTCTAATATACAAAAATTTGAAAGCTCTCTCATGAACTTTTCCCAATGATCTTAAGGCGCAAGTGTTCATTGAACATTTGCAGAGCCAGAAAATATTAATGCAACCTTTTACAGATGATAGCTCAGGTGCCTCTGCTGGCCTGGCACCTCTCCATGCGCAGTCATTGCAGGTGGGGCAGGTAGGTTGTGCTTCATAGCAATGGAAACAAAAAAGAACTAATGGTGGTCAGAATTACAGCTCATCCTCAGTCCCAGCTGTCCCAGAGCAGAGCGAAATAAAAGATTTAAGTTCATTGTATTTCATGGGAGCATATCCGTGTTTCCACGTGACATTAAAAACATCAGAATCTCTTTCCATCCAGAGCACACGTGTCAAGAAAGGACCAGAGCTTGTTTTTTGAAGTTGGCCATGCAGGGCCCATCACCAGCCTGGCTCCTCTTTGAAAATCATTTCAGAAACCAAATTATCAACAGCCTTCTTCCTCCCTCTGTACTGAAAACTTAATATAGATGCAGAATTATTCAAATCAAAATTCATTTTAAAACATAAGAAAGTTTTCCATCACATTGTCTTCTCTGAACAGGGGAAGATAAATTTAGTTTATTTCTAACTCCTACAGAAAATTAACTCAATAAACTCATCATTACTGCTTTAAAGAAAGGAACTGGTAGCTCATGTTTCTCTCTCTAGAGTTATCCAAATACATCCAAGGTAAGATTGATCACATTGGGATTGAGCTTACTTGCATCAAAGCTTGAAATGTCCAACAGCATGCATAAAATTAAAATACAGACTAACTTCAGACACATTCTTAGGTGAAATTCATTCAGTTGTCCTAGCGACTCCATCCTATTCCATAACACAAAACCAAGCAGTCAAATCTGATGACAGCATTTATGCTTCATCTTTAGCCATAGATAAATAGTATTTCTAAATTAAAGACTTGCTTTCCTCAGCTAAACAGGTAGTGCCTCACTGATAAATAAACCCTAAGAGACATGACTATTCTTGACCAATTCAAAGGAGTGACTGAAATCAGGAGAGTTACTTCAGCACAAGCATAGAGCTCAACCACAGCTCCTCACTTTACTCAAAACATTTACCTGTCTCTAAGCTGCCGTACTGTCAGCCTTTATGGAAGTAGGATCCAGACTGCCAGCAGGGGAGAGTTCACATAAAACCAGAAGTAACTTTCAACCTGATGAAAATAATGAACCATCAATGTTTTTTTTGCTGTTTTGATGTTTAAAGGTACATAAAATTTTCCATTTAATGCTGAGTGAAATGCAGTTCTACTGGAGGACTTTTGAACGCTCAACTGATACTTGTTTTACTCACTTCTCAGAAAGAAGTTCACATGCCTCAAAAACACCCAGGAGAATACAGTTGCAGATTTAAGCGAAGGCTGTATAATTATTGGAGAAAACAGCATTTAGTATAAGGCAAAGGTAGGGCAGCCTCAAGAGTTCCGTTGTTTTCCCACCACCCCCTTCCATAAAACCTCTCCCCAAAAAAAAGAGAAGAAAAAAAAAAAAAAAAAGGTTTTCTTCCCTAACATGACATCTCAGAAGACCCCATACATCCAACACAACTGAGAGGAGGAGACAGGTCAACTTCAAAGCAGGCTCCTGTTGATGTATTAATGCCACATCACCTCAGAGATTTCATGTGCCAATTTCTGCAATAATTAGGCTCTGTAAGCAAAGAAGTGAAATTATTATTTTAATATTAGGCTTCCTTTTATCTTTGAACAAGGGCATTTGTTTTGGCACTATCAAGACAAACCTTAATAAACTGACTGGCAAACACTATGTTTAGCAATGAAAATGATACCCAGGCAGGGATTATAATATAAGCAATAAGGGGGAATAGAGAGATTTAGGAAAGGATGTGATTTATAATGACTTTAAGGAGGATAAGCTTCTACATCTGTGATTGCCTGATTGTATAATATTTTAATCGATTATCAGAGCTAACAGGTTTATTTTTTCATGTGAATAAAGGCTGTTTTGCTTTAGCTTACATTTATTTTACAGTCTGTATTAGCACGGATATTTTTTGTAAGTTTTGGCTCCATCACGTCGTATTCATTCCATAGGCTTAGAAATCTAAATTAGTTTGGGCTGAGGGTAGCAGCAGGGAAAGCCTGCAGTTACACCTGTTACTCTGCACAGTAGTGGAGGGGGTTTGGAGGATTTTAGACCAAAAAAAAAAGTATCACTCTGCTGTGACTCAGCCTCCTTTCCTTTGCTCTTGGTTGATAGGTCTCCTAGCAATTACCACTCTCCTTTCCAGGTTGGTTTTCAACTGTGTTAAAAAATGCACTATTTACAAAAAATAAAAAAAATCACAAAATATTCTCACTGAAATGACGGAGGCACCTAAAGCCTTTCCACTGCACACTTCTGCATCCCATTGAAGGCAGGAGGCCCTGTGCAGGTAACTTACCCTCCACACTGCTAGAAGAAGTAGGATTTGGGGTTTCTGATGATCTCTGTACTGATCATTCTCACACCAACATGAAATTCAAGCAACACCTTATGTGCTGGTAAAGTGAGAAGGAATTCACAGTGCTGGCCAGAAAACAGCACAAGCATTCTGCACTTGTTACTGAGGTTGACCAGAAAACGCAAGATTTGTACACTCCACTAACTTCATTCACCATCTGGGAACGGAGGCGATACAGCAGTGCAGTGCACTGTCTACAATCCTAAGCAGCTAATGGAAGCAGGCAGAAGCAGGCACTCAGTGACTTTAGCTGAAAATACTAGAAGAAACCATTTATATATCATCTATCACACAGCTAAAAGTCTCTAATAGCAAGAGCTTTTAAAGCTAAATAATCATGTTTTGAAGAAACAATATTTAAGAGCCCTGTTCACATTTTTAATGCAATTATTCATCACACTGCTTTTTAAAATAAAGCAAGTCACCATTATAGGTTATTCCTGACCATTTCCTACTCGCGAATGCTTTGTTTTCTAAAAGAAGAAAGCAAATATACAGATATGCACCTTTTCAGTCTAGCTGCCTGGCACAAAACCCCAGAAGTCAAAAGTTTGTTAAAATAAACTGTTTCACTTGATTGAATTAGCTCCTTGAGAGCTGATTCACTCTGATAGAAACCGAGGGCTATGCAAGGATGCTGAACTTTTCCTTGGAGATGAACAGTACAAATATCCTAAATGAGTAAGCGAAACATCGGTACTGATTCCATGATGGAAGGAAGCAACAAAGCCGGCGATAATCTAAGGCTATGCATTATTTCAGGGAATTTTGTACAGGTACATCATCTTTTATATATCTTCCAACATTTAACAGAATACTCTTAAAATCCAAGGTGAGTTGACTGCTTACTTTTCTTTCCCTAAAGTTCTTGCAAATGTTACTGCATAATTGCAAAGCATATGAATTTTTACCTCTAATTTTTGCATTCGAACATGTTTGCACGCATACAAGATACGCATACAAGATATTTTGCCTTTGTTGGAAAAAAAAAAAAAAGGCAGCTTTGAGTTGAATGCTCCTGTGGATATTTAAAGTAGAGTGAACATGAGATTAAAAAGAAGGCCACCCATAAAATGCTGTGCAGCTCAGAGTGAAATTTGTCCCTAGGAAACTTAGTAGGGATTTTGTGGGTTTCACCTGTATGAGACACGAGTAGAGCACTTTGCTCCTGGCCTCAAGGCAGACTCGTGTGCTTGCCAGTAACAGTGCCAGTTTTACCTTTCAACACTTGATGGAGCAATTTCTCTGAATTTCCCCTTCACCAGGATCACACTTCAGCCTTCGTGCCACCTCAATAGGTCAGATGCATTTCCTATCAGCTTGCTCCCTTGGTGCTATTAAAAAAACAAACACACACTCCCAGACAGAGAGCCCTGCAGAAATGCTTCCGACTAAGCATAACCTTACACAGAATAGAAAGCCTAGAACTTCACATTCAATTCCTTACATTTACATTATTAATTAAAAAAATAATAATAATAGCAAACAAGTAAATCAGTCAGGGACTGGGACAAACTTCAGGGCTCTCTTCTGCAAAGTCTTCTAGGAACGAATTTGGATCACAGACAGGAAGTACCTTCAGGATCCTCAGCAAAGGAGGCTGAGAAGTTTGTTCTCCCTCCAATATCAGAAAGAAGAGACTTAGCTCAAGTCTCTCTGCTCATATTAACACTTACAAAGCCTAGTTTTTGCTCTCACAGCAAATATTACAGGGGAGAAAGAAAAAAAAAAATCATGCACACAGCTACAAAAATAGATCAAATGAATGGGTTACACATCAGCAATAGGAGACCTCACATTTCTTATGAAATATGGACTCCATTTTATTAAAGATATACGGTTACAAGCTAGCAGAGAAATAAGGATACGGGATGCTGTGCTGAAGGCTTAAGAAAAATCCACTGTAATCAATATACTGGCAAATTACAACTTTAGCAGCAGCAGTTTGGTATCTGGCTTAGTTCCTAATCCTTTAATCTCATCAGCTACAACCAAGCTGATACTGCCAACAAATGCTATGCCATAAAAGGTGGGTATTCTCACATACTTTCCTATGCTTTGCATGATTAGTGCTTAAATCTACTCATCACGAACTTCCTGAATGATAATAGGATTTGGGCAAACAGTCAAGATTTCATGGTGGCAATTGTAAGCTCAAGTGAGTCGTCAACTAAGAAGCATCCCTGTAAGCATGTCAAGAACTCCCTTATCAGTTTGCAAAATTTACCAGTCTTGCTCTGTGAAGACAGATTCTTGTTTCATATTTTTCATGTTATTATTTGAGCTCCAGTAGTAATTGCTAATGGAGCACTGCAAGTGACCCATGGTTTGTGTCCAAACAGTTCCTGAACTGGGGAGACTCATGTAAGATTGCTGACTGCTTGCCTAGATCTATTTTAAAGAAAGCTGCAAGGAGTGTCTTGCAGCCTTGTGCTACAAGGTATCCATTACACATTTTGGTTAAGAGAAAGACATCTTAGAAACAGGCTACAGTCAGTTCATTCCTCAGGTGCTGAGCCAAAACTTCTTGTATTACCACTGGAGTTGACATTCAAAAGGAGAAAAAGTTAGGAACCAAAAAAAAAAAAACAAAAAACAAAAAACCAACAACAACAACAACAAAAACTTTTTTATATATGCAATTTAATTTGATGCAATTTCAAAGCTGAGAAAACAAAATGTACAAGAGCAGCAAGAAAGATGGGGGGGGAGGTGGGGGAACAAAGAGGTAGCCCTAAGGGATTAAGAGCTGCTGGACTGAAGAGTCTTTGAAAACAAAACCAGAGAGACTTCCTAGCAACATTTCAGCCTGCCATCTTGGGCCAAATCCCCAACTGGCACAAATCAGAGTAGCTTTGCAGAAGTCAGCATCTATTTATGACAGGTCAGGCTCTGGCCCTGTAGTCATGCAGAAGAGCTGGTTTGTACATAGACAGCTCCTACTCAGTTTGCAGCCAAGAAGGAGACAGGAGGCAGACGTCACATGTGTCACGGTGTCAAAAACCATTCCTACTTCTTCCTAAACAACTTCCTAAATCAATATTATTATGGCTGCCTTTTCCGTTCTTCACAGCCTGCTTGCTGACTGGGATATTTTATAAACAAGTTCTCTAGGTAAATGAAGATTAACAATTACTCTTGTCCAGCAGTAGGAAGGTCAACACTTGTCTGATGCATGTTTGACTATGAACATGAGCACTTGTTCTCCATCACTCCAGAGCTGAGCTGGACACAGCATAGTCCACTCAGCTTTTTTCAAGTCTGAGAGCGCCCTGTAAACTTGCTTGGCATGTTTGTTTTATTATTTGGCTTTAAAAAACAAACAAACAAACCAAAGAGAATGAAAACAAAAACAAAAATCCAACCACAGTTTGTATGAGGAAAAACAGACTAATGGAGTTTAAGGCAAACAAGCGAATTTCTTCTCCCCCTGTATCACCAGCAAGATACTGAAAGATCAGACTCCCGTAACTTCTTGGCTTCAAGAGTCAGAGCAAAACACCAACCCAAAATCACAACTGGGGAAATGCACATCCTCCTTGCAAACAATGCATCCGATCAGCTGAAAATTCCTGCTGTCATAACCAAAAATTGATTGTACTCAACTCTGCATCCTAATATTTTATACTACTTTCCCCGTGTTGTTAATGGATTTCCCTTTTTCAAGCAGAAGCAGCGCTTTCTAAGCTCCTGACAGAGCAAACCTTATCTGAAAGGAGGCTGTTGTCCCTGGGCACCATAGTGGCGAATAAGAAATCACAACAGAAGCTGTATCTGGAAACTATGCAAGTGATGAGCTGACACTTTATTACAGGAAGCATGCTGCTTCTGCTCAGCACCAACCCTGGCACAATTAGGTTTTTTTTTCCCAGAAATCCAGTTTCTTGTTGCTGTGAGACAAAAGTAAATAATGACTCATTAAGTGATCCTAAGAAGAAAAACTGAATGCTTGCTCCTCTCAAAAGCATTCGCACTAGGAAATCTGATAATGTCACCGACCACAGCAGCAAACATAACTTGAAGATTTTCTAGATGCACCCACTTGGCTAAGCCAGGCAGCAGCATGCTGAAATCACCACTCTCTGGGGCTGTGAAGTCACCTTCACTATGAACCTTTGCCCTACCTTCTTCAGAGGGTTCTGCTCCCCAGGCTGTTCTAAACAAGGCCTGAATGCCTTACTCCGGGTCAGCAGCGATGGTTCACATGCTGGGCTGGGCTAACAGACTTCTCACAGTCACCAGAGGCAGATGGATCCTTCCAAACTGCTGGCTATGCACTGCTCAGGGCCTGGATAACATTCGCCAAATGCAAAATAACTTCTGCTTTCACCTGACTTTCACAAAAAGTGCGCTCACGCAGGACTGACCCTTCTTAAGAGAGACATTTTTTGGTTATGCTTTACGATTTCAAAGTTTTCTGAAAGGCTTCAGTGTCCAAGAAGTGATCTTGAACTGATCTTTTCAAGACAAAAAATGCTTGACTTGGGTTTTTCCTCAATGTGTGACTGTCTCATGTACATTTAACGTGTTTGTACACTTCATTTATTGCAAAAGGTCGAGTAGTGATGTGTCCATCAATTTATATATATGGATATGCTCTTTAGAAGCCCCTGAACTTTAAACAATTTCTGCTCAACAAGCACTACAGTGTTGCACAAAGACAGATATTCTGTATTCCTGCTCAACCAAGCAACTGCTTGCCTTTCCAACAAGCAGCTGCACTTTCGTGCAACATTTTCCTTTGCAGTCACCAGATGAAAAAAATCCCCCTGATAATTTAAGCAACTAAACTCTAAACATTGCTAATGCCGTGACCTTATCTACAAACCAAGGTGCTGCTCTTTCATGCATCTGACTTCATCATCACTGCAACCTCTTGCACATAACTGGCTACTCAAATTGGCTACTATTAGTACTGCAGACAATAGCAGCTTCTCTTTAACTCAACATGCAAACTCTCTTAAAAGCTCCAGAACCATCGTCTGCTTAGGATGTAGGCAGCAGTTTACAGATTGGAAGTGCTCCATTGTTGTCAGTGGCCTCAAAGCAGCGCATTTTGTGACTGTTTCAGTCTCAGCAAATATTTTCTTTGAAAAGAAACTGTATGGGAAACATTGGAGATATTTTAGAGCTCCCTGTAGGTCAGATAAACCTTCCATCTTCCTCAGCAGTTACATAAACAATGTTTAAAAGCAGTGCGGTGGGCATCAGCCAGCTAGGAACGTTTCTTCTCACGAATTCTTTCCTCTTCTCAATTCTACTTTCCACAGCTCAAACCAGAAGAGGCCCTGAATGTCAGAGTAGCACTTCTCTGACGTTCAAGACTCCTCCATCAGCAAAGCATATGCCTGGCAAATAGCATATGCCTGACAAAACCAGCAGGCTGTGCACAGACCCACATTCTTGTCTCATTTCTAACTCAGTCCTTTCAGCCAGATCAGCCAATACTGAAGGATGCTATCCTCGCATCCCTGCACATGGAAGACAATGCCATGCTCCTCCAGCTTGCTCTTTCACTGCAGCCATTTCACATCCAATGCTCCATACAATCCAGACTTTTCAGAGGAAAAACTTTCTAGGGAAAGCAAACAGCTGCAAGAACAGCAGGTACAACCACACATGCTCACCAGGTACTATTTACTACACTCTTACAGCAACACCAAGCAGCATTAAAGCCAAGTCTTCAACCACTGAAATTACTTGAGCTTCACTAAAGGTGCATTGCTGATCATTATCCCTGACAACCTGCTCCAAAGGACATCCCACTGTACCAACCCATATGGGCTGCTTGAGGAAAAAGCCCACAGAAACCACTCAAATTCTCATCAGGGACTGCTCTGGCTAGAAATACCCAAAGGCACGTGGCTGTGTCTTACGAAGATACTCCATCAGTACTATTAACAGTTTAACAACTGATCCTTCTGATTAGTAATCCCTCACTTTCATCTACAGATCACTGTTTGAGTGAATTTTTCCTGAGCAGTTCAGGCATGCCCCTGCATTGCCCTTCTCCCAGGGAGCTGCCATCCGCCACAGAGTAAGGGAAACCAGCTCAGCCCACCGCAGGGTGGAACTATTTTAAGTAATGGTGTCTGATACTGGAGGAGCATGAAATTCAGTCCTGTCATAGCTGGGATACCTAAACCCCCCTCAGAAAAAAAAAAAAAAAAAAAAAAAAAGCTGTTGCAAAATCCTTCCCAGAGGCTTATAAACTCAACTCTGGGATTGCTCTCAAGCTGTAAGCCAGTAAAGTTTGGTTTTGTATCTCATAGCTTACTATTTCAATAAATAAATTAATAAAAATACATCTAACCACAGCAACAGCTACCCGGACATATACATCTGTATTGCTTGAGGATTCAAAAGCCTTTTCATGAACCACTATTGTGTGTACAAAAGCAGTACACACAGTCACAACATACGGGCAGTACTCCTGGATGGTTTATGTTGTCTAGCAGACAGGCCAGGGAAAAAAGTGTTCTGTCATAGTAAATATCTGTAGAAATACAACCCATAAACTCTCTAGTACAAAATTTAGGGCCAAAGAGTGCCACTGATTCAGCTCAAAGCACTAGGTAGGATAACAGGATTTCTTCTGGTACATTACATTCAACTAAGCCAGAAATAAATAAAAAATAGTATCTCTAATTATTGCTGATATTTCCTTCAGCATTACACATAAGCAGTGAAAAAACCCTGCCAAGAAATGCTTAATGCCTGTAGGATTTCCAACTTGATCACAGGCAATGCAGATCATCCCAATTCTGATGCATTACTCTACCTTTAGTTACACCATCATGGAACTGGAAAACCAAACTGAAGTGCTAGCATCAGGCTGGGGGCACGACTAAGAGGGGAAAAAAACAACTATGCTTTGCTTCATCATGACACACCCAGCATCCAAGTGCCCCACAGCAGCAGACCTTTTTTCCTCCATCACTGGCATTGCCACAGAGCCAGAAAAGTAGAGCATCTCATCTGACCGTTTAATAGAGGACTGACGGCAACAGAGAAGCTGCCTAAAGCCCCTGCACCTCAAGGAACTTCAGGATCCCAGTTCCCCAATGTGAGCCCAGATGTACAGCTCCTGACCCCAGCACTCTGACTGTTGATTCATGTCATGAGCCCTGGGCTATGGCATTCTCTGAGTGCCACTTCAAGCACGTGGCTGGCACAAAACCATGTCTCTTTTGCCTGGTCTCTTTTTCCAACTTCATCCATCTTTCTTCCTGACTTAATATGCAATTTTACCTTCCTGTGTCATGGCTCACTGGCACATTCAGCCCTTGTTCAATACCATAAGTGATCTTCACAGTCCTCTGTCCTACCCTATCAGTTTCCTTAACAGATATCCTAAAATATCTGATTAAATACATTTCTCATTTGCTGAAAATAAGTCATGTAAAAATACAACTGAAGCTGCTTTCTGAACTGCATTCAGTTGATGTTACTAATCACAATTTGCTGTACTTTTCTGCTGCAAACAAAATGCTTGGTCAATGTAATCTGATAGTTGTGGAGGAAAGGGCAGGCCCTTTGCTGGGATAAGCTATCAGGAATCCACTGAAAACATGGAACTGAAGCAAGACATACCAGCTGAGCACTTGCCCTTAAAAACAGCCCTATCCATTAGGCTAGGATGTAGAATTCAGTGGAAGGATTTTATCTTTGCATGGTACTGTTCCCAGTCTCAAAAAAAAATTATAATCAGAAAAAAAAAAATATAAGGAGATCAGGCATTCTGGAATATCATGGAGAAGCAATAAAATTGCAGTGGTTTAATAGGTATTTGGCTAATACAATGCAGTTCAGAATAGAGGATAAAGCTATTTCCTTTCACTTGACAGGGATAAACTTGTATTCCCCTTGACAACCTTAGCTCACTGTCAATTCACGGAAGAACAGACCTAAAGATTACACAGCCACACCAGAAATGAGGAATATCATTTTTTCCCCCCTCTTTTGAAATGCTGACATGATGCCTAACACACAAGACAGAGGCAGGAGACTCACTCACAAAAATAGTGGCAAAGAACAGAAGCACTGCAGTACCTCCTTGTTGTTGAAAAACGTGTACTGGAGGATGTGAAAATGCTTTTACATACATGTAATGCTGTTCTTATTCAAATCTAAAATAGCTCCATTTAAACTTTGTCTTGGAGATAAGAAGGCAGGCAGAAATACTGGCAATAACCAATAGGGTATTTGCAACAGGGTATGAGACTATTTGCAAATGTTACTGTAATTAACAGTTGCCTCTCTGTTACTGACTACAATGAAAGCACATTTAAAGGCAAGTTAAGACAGTAACACACCAACCTAAGCTTTTAGTAACTTTTAGGCTAGTTTTCCCATGTATTGCTTCTAGGTGCTAGAAGTCTTGATACGTAAGCAGCTTTCTCCTTCCAGCCCTGCATTCACCCTCCACCACATTCAGGTATTGGTCAAAGGCAAATACAAAAAAGCTGCCAGCAGAAAAGCAAAGTGCACAGCTCCAGACAGATGTTTAGCATAACAGCAAACAGTCCTTTTGCTGTCCATGTGCTGTGTGTAATGTTTTTGGATTTCTGCCCCTATGTGCCAAAGATTTTTAAACCTCTGTGTTTAATGGAGGAACAGTGAATATGGGTGTTTCAAAAAGGTCACAAAGGAGAAAACCCTGCCTCTTGAAAGCATAAATCAAGCTGCTACCCAGCTCCATCACAACATACCTTAATGCTGGCAGCTCCTCCCTGTCCAGCAAGGGATCAGGGGACTACTTTGCCAGACGCTGTACAGACACACTTTCCTTATATTTCTTATGAATGAAGAAGCCCTGTTTAAAAAAAGCAAGAGCAGCTGTTATGCTGAACACTAGGCTCTTTGAAAGTTATGCGACAACTCTGGAAGGAAAAAACTATAACTCTATCCACAGAAATGTGTTGCACATATAAGTGATGAAATAGAGAAAAGAGTTGGAGGATTACTTTTTTAAACCACTTGCACTGTGACTAATGCGAGTCCCTCTTTGGTTACTTTCCACTGAAACATCAGAGTGTAAAAATATTACCCACCTATTTGGGGTCTGCTGGATTAAGTCCCTTTGCCTGTGCCACACTATAAATAATGGTATTAGTGGCAGGGAGTCAAATGCTTGGCTCTGCAAGGAAACATCTTTTGAAAGCGTAAACGTTGAACGCTAAATATTGCAAATGTTTCTTTTTGGTTCTGTGTTTTTGTTCTGCTTCAAACAATTCCTGCTTTTTGGTAATGCAGAGGGAAGAATGCTTTCCTTAAGAGACATCTCCTTTTCATTCTGAAGGTTCCCTTTTCTCTATCTGGGAAGATACATTAAGTGAGGCCTTTTAGTCCCCACAGGGCATTGTTGCACTTGGAAGCACAGAAGACATCCAGAGTGCTCGGCAGCATTAACAGCAGGCACTGTTGTATGTGACCCATTCTTTAATGGCATGTGGCACAATCCTTGGGTGAAGCTGGATTGTCATCAGTCAGAATGTTGCTGCCAAACACCTTCAACTGAGTTTCTTCTCCTCTCCTGCAGGAGTTTTCTCTAACCAAGCACATTGCACAGATGCCATTAAAACAGGGCCTTTGCTGCTTCTTGAGCCTGTATCTTATCCTACCTTCATCTGTGCCAAACAGCTGTAGAAAAGAAGTCACAGCAAGCCAGCACTGCAGTTATGGCTGGGCTCTGTTGTCATCTGCAGGCACCTGAGCCCAGGGGAGCTAGCTCTCTGTAAATGCACCATCAGACTCAAATGGACATTGGACTGAGAGATATGGTTTGATTTTTGGTACAGTACAATTATAAGCATATATATATACACACACATAAATATTATTAAATGTCACTATATATTTTAGTGAAGCTTTAAGTTACACACTGTATAGGATTAAAAGTCTAACTGTTGAGATAGCAAATGGTGCCTAGCTTGCCTGGCCTAACACATATTTTTCTGCCCTTTATAAGGATACTGTTACACGCTGTAGCCTTGAAGTTGTCAGCATTCATTAAATAAAAGATTCCTTATCAGGATTTAAAATAAATTTCTATTTCAAAAAGGATTTTATTTTCTTTCAGTATAGTGACTTGGTTACTTACAATGCTATAAAATAGCACAGTATGTTTGAGTGACACATGCTTCACCTCCATGCTTACACTTATCCCTCCAGATGAATCCAAACAGGGGACAGGAAAGACTCCACACTCCCTTCCTCTTAGTCTCTGCATTTGTACCCTAATTCCTGGGCTAAGAAAACCTTTAAGTACTGCAGTATAACATTTCACCTTCATCATTCCTCACTGCCACAGCAAAAACAACAGTATCACACAGAATAAGCAAACAGAAGAAAGACAAAAGGCACCTTCTGTTCAAAGAAACAACCTAACTTTACCAGTGATTTTTCTGAAGCTGCTTAATTCCCAGGGATCAGTGCCATGAGGTAAGCTCATTGCTGCAGTCTGTATCAGTTCTTTGGAAGGCAGAAACTGGAACACGGCTATTTTTCTTCTTCAAGCTAAAGAAAGTGAATTATTGGAATAGATTAAAATGTGACTTCAGTGAAACTAGTTTTTGTTTTCCTATTGAACTCAAACTGCTGTTTTCATTGTTTAAACATCATTTACCTCTGCTGAGACTTTCATAAAGTTTCCACTCTCTCCCCATATTAGCTATGTTTCACCCATGTACCTTTATTTTTTCACTACAAAAGAGATTTCAGATCACTGTATCATGCCCTAAACAATGCATCAATATATACAAACAAATCCAGTGGATTTACTTTAATCATTCAAAAGACTGTTTGAAATCACAGAATGGTTTGGGTTAGAAGGGACCGTTAAGATTACCTAGTTCCAACTCTCTGCTATAGGCAGGGATACCTCCCACTAGAGCATCCTGCCTGGCCTTGAATGCTTCCAGGGAGGAGGCATCCACAACCTGACTGGACGTATAATATATATTTATATATTAATATAAATACCCAAAGGATCAAAAAGATATGTTTTGAAATGTAGGATAAGAAAACAAATGAGGTTTCTTTGGCTTACTAACACATATGAGATTTCTACAGTTTCTCCATGCCTACAGGATACGTGGAAAATAAATCCAGTTTATATAGTTTATATTTTTATATAGGTTTCAGCCTATAACCATACATATCCTACATTTCAGAAGTGCCTCCCTCTATTCAAGAGAAGTTGAATTTTTTTGGTGGAAAATAAATAAGTTAACAGAAACCAAGCCCAGCCTCATCTATTTAGCCAAGTGCGCCACAAGACCATGTCACCTGCTGGAGAAGTGACCTCCTACCCTTGCTGGGGCAAGGAGAGATCTTGTTTCATGCCACAGGATGTGTGAAAGAGCTGATCCTCCCTCCCAGCAAGAAGAGTCTAGCTGGCACCGAATTCTGCACTGACTGCAGGCATCTCCCCCCTGACCCACGCAGAGCTGCAGCCATCACCCAGCCCCATGGGGAGGCAGATCCCCTGTAAGGCTGTGCTGGGGCAAGGGCAGGGCTTGCCCTACAAGTAGCGTGGTACAGGGGCCAGCAATGCCCTGTGTGCCTTCCAAGAAGAATAACTTACAGAACATCACTGCAGCTCCCTTTCTCCTCCAATACACTCCCTGTGACAGCTCATACAAGTCATGCTAGCTCATTCTGCATTCCAGTCTGTAACACCCTCTGTTACAGCCTCTGTTACACCCTCTGTTAATCGAGCTCGCTGCAGAAAACATTCTCCCCTCCACTGCTCCAGGCCAAGGGATAATAAGAGATAATGCTACTGATAAATAAAAAGCAAAAAACTCACCCTTTCCACACATTGACCACCTCTAAGTTCCTTTACATACTGTGCTCACTTTGGGCAGAGCCGGCAGGTGCAGCCCCATTTACACGGCGAGGTGAGGAGACATCTCGTTAGGGAGGCCGTGATAGCCGTGAACCCGGGTCACTCACAAATCATTTCCCTCCCGCAGAGCTACCAGCAAGCCCTGGCTGTGAGATGCTGCCACCCACGAAGCAGCATGGGCATTCATTAGTTCTACCCCATAGCAGGGGAGCACCGATAGCGTGGCCCGACCTCCTACGCCGGGACCACCAGCTGCTTTCTGTTCTGCACACTGGGCTGCACCTCCTCGACATCCTGCCCTGCCTGGAGGGGAGGTGCGCAACTCGCAGCCCTGACAGCCAGCGGCTGCCATGACCTGACCTCCCCTCTGTCCCGCTCTGCAGGCAGCCCTCCTGAGCCAAGTGTGCTGGGGTCCCACCTGCCCAGGCTGGTCGCTCCTGTGCCCGCCAACCAGCAGTGCCACAGCCAAGGCGGGCAGCCATAACCCCCAGGAATGTGTGACAAACACAACCAGATCCCTTTGGCAGCAAATGCCTTCCAAAACTCCAACCCAGAGGGTCAACATGGCAACATACTTCAGAACTTATTCTTTTCTTTCCAAGGCATCACTGCTGAAGCACAATGATGGCAAAGAAATATCTATGCTTTGAACTATTACTCACAATGTCCCTTTTTTTTTTTTCTTTTTTTTTTTTTTTTTTTTTTTTAAAAGAGGAACAAAATTCACATCATTTTGCAAATGTTTACAAATTAAATAGAATTAAAAGCTTCAAGCAAAAATTGGAGGCTTTTTCCGTCCCTAAAGATCTCTGAATATTGCAGTTTGACAAGAGGTTTATACTAACAACTTGGAAGCCACATGTTACCTGATGATCAGAAAGGTGGCCTGGGTGCATCTGAAGCAGCAGTAAGTGAGGTATGAATTTTCTCTGAGGAAAAAAGGGAAAATAAGAGCTACTGCCTGGCTAGCAAATACTTTATCCAAGTCCTCAAACACAGTGCAGCCTGATATGCGATTATGTGAACATAGCACAACCTTCTATGCAAAGGTTTTCATTCATAGAAATCTAACTACACAGGAAGAAATCCTGGCAAGGATTCTATCACTCACAGGGTACCAGTACAACCCATTGTGCTTTTTGGCAAATGAAGAGCACGCTATTTCTGTGAGGCAAGGAAAGAAGGTACAAAAAAGTAAACTGGTTTTACCAGATGGAACGTGTTAACGTTTAGTTGTGACTTCCATTGGGAGATTAACTTTGACTCTTGAGGACACAGAGCTCAGCAACACCAGCTCTCACACACAAAGCTGAAAAAGGCCTCTCTCTGTATGATGTGGAAGATGGTTCTCTGGCACAGAGGCTGAAGTGACATTTCCAGAGGAAAGCGACCACCTGAGTTCTGCCAGCACCATGGTTGGAGCATCAGTGCTCCACTGCATGACTCAAAAAGCTTCAACTGATCTGAAAAGATGAGCACACCAAAGGCATTAGAGCATCATATAACATGCCCAAGGAGGCTGTGGATGCCCCATTTCTGGAGACATTGTAGACCAGGCTGGATGTGGCTCTAGGCAGCCTGGTTTGGTGGTTGGCGACTCCGCACATAGCAAGAGGGTTGAAACTAGATGAGCATTGTGGTCCTTTTCAACCCAGGCCATTTTATGAGTCTACAATCATTTCTCCAATTTGCTAATCATATCTATCAGGAAAGGGTAGAGGGGAAGGAGTAGCGCAGGGCATCCCCAGTTATTCCTTTAACTTATGTGTTATAAAGAAATAGATTTGTTCCTCCATTGATGTTAATCCTTAGGATATTGACTAACATATATTAATTAAAAATTATGAAAGGATATTAAATATTAGTTAAGTATTAATTTTCTAACAATAAGATCTGTATTATCCTTAATTTAATTTACTCAAAATAATAAAATCCAAAGAGCCTTATTTCGGCAGTATGCCATACTTCAGAATAACGTAATTAATCTGGTCTAAGTAAAACCTAGAATCAAAGTACAGCTGTTGAGCCATAATGATTCCTGAATCCCCGATATCACACTGGAACCTTTTCCTTTCTCTCATTACTACAAGTTGGTTTGACATTTCAAAGTTTAAACAATAGAACAACCACTACAGTCAGTACTTATCGAAAGTCTCAGCGCTCTTTAAAACGCTGATGATCAGGACTGGATCACACCGCCCTGCCTGGTCATGCATCTCAGCCCAGTTTGCCCCAGTCTTTGACCAGCACCCAGACAGCAACACCTAGTGCAACACGGAGAGTTGAAGGCTCATTTCAACCCACTGCCTGTGGCTGTTTGCCCCCCCATATTCAACACACCCAATGCCCACCTCTTGCTGCCATTTGCACACGGCTCATGCTGGAGTTTAACCCTACCAGCAGCAACCCACACTGGAAACTAAAATCACCCCCCTGGTGCCGAACACCCACGTTCCACACTTCAATTCTCTCTGCACAATCCCTCATTACAACAACTGCAGGCAGAAATGCGCTTCCCTTGCAGAGCTTTGAACCAGCCTTCACAGTTTATCTTTACGCTCACTCCTCGCAGCTGTCAGGCGGGCGGCGCGCAGCGGCCGCGGGCACACGCGGGAGCCCGGCGCTGCGGAACCGTTTTGGCATTTCAGCCTTTCTCCACCTAATCCCCTTTGCTGGCCGCAATCCGACGAGCGCCTCACGAAAAAAACAGATGGCAGTAACTGATACAGCCCGTAATTGTGGCCAGTTAATAGCAGAGGATAAGAGTGAGATAAGGACCAAGCCTTGTGGCCAGCTGCTGCTGCATTAACCCTTCACGAGATCACCTCAGTGGAGCTCAGCTGCTTGCAAAACCCAAGGATGAATTACAGTTATTTCCACATCCCACCCCACCTCCATCTATTTTTCCCCCCATTCATTTTAGGACTTTCACACATATCGGGATAATGAATTTGAAGTCCAATTCCTTCCTCCCTCCTTTCAGTCAAGGATCTCAACAGCCCCTGTTGTGACCAAATTTTTTGGGAGCGCAGGTAGTCCTCCCTCCACTTCAAATAAGGAAGAGAAATTCAATGTTCTCCAGAAGCCTGGATGAGATTTACACTGACATACACCCAGCAGAACCCACTCCAAACAAGGAGTTGCTCTAGGTTTCAATCAGTCATTAAATTCAGCCCTCCAGGTTATGGAAAGTTTAAATAAAGCTTCCTTATTCCATGCTGCAAAGGGCAGGCTGACATCAGCATCAACAAACAAAGAGAATAAACCTCAATACTGAGCTAGGATACACAGCATTTTACTGCAAAAGCAAGCTCTATTCTAAGTCAAAAGATGGAGGCATTGCCCCGTAAGCTTCTGGACAGGCATTCCCACCCAACAAGCACTCACATATAACTTTAGGAGGCACTCATCACGCGCTGCTCATGTTGTCAGCTTCTCACTCCAAAAGCTACAAACAAAAACACACATATTGCTAACGTTTATTCAAAAAACTCCATTCAGCTTGGAGCATTGGGATTTCAGGTTTGATTTGCTAAAACAAAATGGCTTTAGTATACTATTGAAAATTCCCCTTCACAGGCAGTGTAATTATTTCACTTCACTCTAAACAGAGTCATTTTGCCAGCTCTTCAGATCCTATGCAAAAAGCCCTGACTATATGCACTCT